TTGTTGATGATAGTCATTCTGACAGGTGTGAGGTGGTACCTCGTTGTTTTTATTTGCATCTCTCGGATAATCAGTGACTTGGAGCATGTTTTCATATGTCTCTCAGCCTTCTATATGTCCTCTTTTGAAAATTATCTGTTTAGGTCATTTGCCCATTTTTTGTTTGACAACAGGATTGTTTATCTTCTTTTTGTTAAGTTGTATGAGTTCCCTGTAGATTTTGGAGATTAAACCCTTATCAGAGATAACATTGGCAAATATGTTCTCTCATGCAGTGGGCTTTCTTGTTGTTTTGTGGATGGTTTCTTTTGTTGTGCAGAAGCTTTTTATTTTGATGTCGTCTCATTTGTTTATTTTCTCTTTAGTTTCCATTGCCCTAGGAGCTGTATCGGTGAAGATATTGCTTCAGCATATGTCTGAGATTTTGCTGCCTGTGGATTCCTCTAATATTTTTATGGTTTCCTGTCTTACGTTTAAGTCCTTTATCCATTTTGAGTTTATTTTTGTGTATGGTGTAAGTTGGTGGTCTAGTTTCATTTTTTTCACATGTATCTGACCAAATTTCCCAACCCCATTTATTGAAGAGACTGTCTTGACTCCATTGTATGCTCTTGCCTCTTTTGTCAAATATTAATTGCGCATAATGGCTTGGGTCGATTTCTGGGTTTCTGTTCTGATTCATTGATCTGTATGTCTGTTCTTGTGCCAGTACCAGGCAGTTTTGAGAACACTGGTTTTGTAGTATAGCTTGATATCTGTTATTGTGATCCCTCCAACTTGGTTCTTCTTTCTGAAGATCGCTGCAGCTATGCGGGGTCTTTTTTTATTCCAGATGAATTTTTGGAGAGTTTGTTCTAGGTTTTTGAAGTATGCTGTTGGTATTTTAATAGGGATTGCATTGAATCTATAGATTGCTTTAGGTAGTATGGACATTTTAATGGTGTTGATTCTACCAATCCATGAACACGGTATATTCTTCCATTTGTTTATGTCTTCCTCTACCTCTTTTTTCAGCGTCCTGTAATTTTCTGAGTACAGGTCCTTTACCTCCTTGGTTAAATTTATTCCTAGGTATCTTAATTTTTTTTTTTAAGTAAATCTTTATTGTTCAGATTATTACATTTGTTCCTCTTTTTTTCCCCCCATAGCTCCCCTCCACCCAGTTCCCACCCCACCCTCTGCCCTTACCCCCCCACTGTCCTCATCCCTAGGTGCACAATTTTTGTCCAGTCTCTTCCCGCATCTCCCACACCCATTTCCCCACCAAGAATAGTGAGTCCATTCCCTTTCTATGTCCCTGATTCTATTATAATCACCAGTTCATTCTGTTCATCAGATTATTTATTCACTTGATTCTTAGATTCACTTGTTGATAGATGCATATTTGTTGTTCATAATTTGTATCTTTACCTTTTTCTTCCTCTTCCTCTTCTTAAAGGATACCTTTCAGCATTTCATATAATCCTGGTTTGGTGGTGATGAACTCCTTTAGCTTTTCCTTATCTGTGAAGCTCTTTATCTGACCTTCAGTTCTGAATGATAGCTTTGCTGGATAAAGTAATCTTGGTTGTAGATTCTTGGCATTCATCACTTTGAATATTTCTTGCCACTCCCTTCTGGCCTGCAAAGTTTCTGTTGAGAAATCAGCTGACAGTCGTATGGGTATTCCCTTGTAGGTAACTGAGTTTCTTTCTCTTGCTGCTTTTAAGATTCTCTTTGTCTTTTGCTCTTGGCATTTTAATGATGATGTGTCTTGGTGTGGTCCTCTTGGGATTCCTTTTGTTTGGGGTTCTCTGCGCTTCCTGGACTTGTAAGTCTATTTCTTTCACCAGGTGGGGGAAGTTTTCTGTCATTATTTCTTCAAATAGGTTTTCAATATCTTGGTCTCTCTCATCTTCTGGCACCCCTATAATTCTGATGTTGGTACGCTTGAAGCTGTCCCAGGGGCTCCTTACACTATCTTCATATTTTTGGATTCTTTTTTCATTTTGCTTTTCCGGTAGGGTGTTTTTTGCTTCTTCACATTTCAAATCTTTGACTTGATTCTTGCGCTCCTCTGGTCTGCTGTTGGGAGTCTGTATAATATTCGTTATTTCAGTCCGTGTATGCTTAATTTCTAGTTGGTTCTTTATCACATCGAGGGTCTCATTGGATTTCTTGAGGATCTCAGTAACTTTATCAGCGGCTTCTAGACAGTTCTTGAGAGACCTTAAAAGTGTGGTTCTGAACTCAATATCCTCCATTGACAGTTTTGTCCTGTTTCTTTGTCTCCGCATTTTTTATGCTTTCTTGGTGCACCCCCTAGTGGTCTTTGTGTGCAGTCTTGTTGTAGTTAAGCCTTGATTGTTGTAGTTAAGCCTTGATTGTTGTAGGTAATACTTGGGGGGATTTGACCTCCAGGTCAACTGGCTATGAGAATCAGCTCTGTCTGCAGTGGGAAAACTTCTGTCCTCTAGGGAGGTGCTAATCTAGCCTTTGCCTGAGGCTATCTGGCAAATGGCTCTGTGCAGGGCTTGGGCGGGGCGGGTCCCACGGGATCAACAGAGCCAGTGGAGGGAGCAGTTATGGCTGCTCTCAGTTCTGTCCCCAGAGGCTCTGCCTCTCAGAGTCCCAGCAACCGCTGCAAGCCTCGGAGAGAAAGCTGCCCTCGCGTTCCGACCGATGCCAGACAGTCCCGCTTTTCCCGTTTCAGTCTGGGTCCCTAGAGACTCGCCCAGAACTGGAGCTCAGAATCTGAGACTCCCTCCCAATTGAAAACAGCAACCGCGCCCTCAGCTACCAGGTCGCTCCGCGCGTATCTCCGCACCTTTGTATTTTCCGCACTGCGCCTCCTCTGAGTCTCGTATGCTGTTCTCTTTCCTTCTAGTTGAAGAATTTCCCCTCAGCCAGTCTTCCTGTGGTTCTGGGCGATGTCCGTTCCGTCTTTTAGTTGTATTTGTGAAGTGGTTGTTCGAGGCAGCTAACTCCGGTGTTTACCTATGCCGCCATCTTGGTTTTCTCCTCTACTTTTTTTCGGTATCTTAATATTTTTGTTGCAGTGGTAAATGGGATTTTTTTTTTTAGTTTCTCTTTCTGTGAGTTCATTATTGGTGTATAAAAAAGCCATAGATTTCTGGGTGTTAATTTTGTATCCTGCTACATTGTCAAATTCATTTATTAAGTCTAGTTTTTTGATAGAGTCTTTAGGGTTTTCTATGTACAATATCATGTCATCTGCAAATAATGACAGTTTTACTTCTTCTTTTTAAATTTGGATCCTTTTATTTCTTCTTCTTGTCTGATCACTATGGCTAGCACTTCCAGTACTATGTCAAACAGAAGTGGTGAAAGTGGCCATCCCTGTCTTGTTTCTGTTCTTAGGGGAAATGGTTTTAGTTCTTGCCTATTGAGTATGATGTTGGCTGTAGGTTTGTCATATAAGACATTTATTATGTTGAGGCATGATCCCTCTAGTCCTACTTTGCTGAGAGTTTTTATCAGGAAAGGGTGTTGGATTTTGTCAAATGCCTCTTCTGCATCAATTGATAGAATTATGTGATTTTTTTTCTCTCAATTTGTTGATGTGATGTATCATGTTTATTGATTTGTGGATATTGTATCAGCCTTGCATCCCTGGAATAAATCCCACTTGGTCATGGTGTGTGATCTTTTTATTGTAATGCTGGATCCGATTTGCTAGGATTTTGTTGAGGATTTTAGCATCTATGTTCATCAGAAATATTGACCTGTTGTTTTCTTTCTTTGTAGTGGCTTTATCTGGTTTTGGGATTAGGGTAATGCTGGTTTCATAGAAAGAGCTTGGAAGTGTGCCTTCCTCTTGAATTTTTTGGACTAGTCTGAGAGGGATAAGTTTTAATTCTTCTTCGGTTTGGTAAAACTCCCCTGTGAAGCCATCTGGCTCTGGGCTTTTATTTGCTGGGAGTTTTTTGATAACTGCTTCAATTTCCTCCTTAGTTATAGGCCTGTTGAGATTTTTTTATTCTTCTTGATTGAGTTTTGGAAGGTCATATTTTTCTAGGAATATGTCCATTTTCTCTAGGTTGTTTAGTTTGTTGGAATAGTGTTGTTCATATTATTTGTCTTTGGCTTGCCAACAAGAGTAGGAACCTCAGTTTTGCCTGTCTGTTGTTACTCCTTAAAATTCTAGTGATAAGCCTAAATACGTTTTGTTAGAGACAGTCTCATTATCTTTAGAGAAACTGTTTGAAGTAAGGTAGTTTCTCTGCAGATGTACTGTCCCTTGTGCTTTAGAGACTCCTACCCTAACTGGTCTTCTTGTGAAGTAAAAAACTATAGAGCTAGTAAAGCCTACAAAGAGATTAAAAACCATCTAAACTTTAAAATTTATTCTGTAGGCCATTTTATCATCCACTTATTCAACAAACCAAATATTTACTTATTTATTTTTTAAATATATCTTTATTGATTTCAGAGAGAGAGAGAGAGGGAGATGGAAACATCAGTGATAAGAAAGAATCATTGCTCGACTGCCACCTGCACACCCCACACTGGGCATTGAGCCCGTAACCGAAGCATATACCTGACTGGGAATCGAACCTTGAACTCCTGGTTTGTAGGTTGGCACTCAGCCATGAACCATGCCGGCCAGACTGGCATTATTTATTTTAGTCACACAAATTTTAAATAGTATTTAGTCAAATATGTTATTTTCCAGTCAATTTAAATGTAAGAAAAAAACAATAAGGCAATTGACTAATGTGGCAACAATATAAAATTACAAAAATATCATACTGTCCTGAAAGCAGAACGCATTTTTAATTAAAGGTTTCCTTATATCTTCATATTTATTATATAGTCTTTGAATTAGTTTGCCTAAAGTTAGACAGTTTTTTAAGTACTGTGTAACCTGTGAAGTCTCTATTCTCAATAGTCATTGGATGGGAACAGGTGCCAATTTAATAAGAGAAAAGTCCAACAGGTTAAAAATCTGAAAGTGTTTATAGGCTATTGGTATTGATTTCCTTTTATTTTTCTCCTAGAAACATGATCAAGGGCAAGTTCTGTTGGATATAGTCTTCAAACATCTTGATTTGACTGAGCGTGACTATTTTGGTTTACAGTTGGCTGATGATTCCACAGATAACCCAGTAAGTGTAAGCTGTTTTCTCATTTTAATTTTAATTTTTCTCTGTCATAATAAGTTTTTTTCTGATTTATAATGTTCACTGTTTTAGTGAGTTTTTTAAAAATTTAGTTTGACTGTGGTGATGTGATAGAAGGAAACTTGACTTTGGCTGGTTAACAGAATGCAGTATACAGATGATGTATTACAGAATGGTACACTTGAAACCTGTATAATTTTATTAATCAATGTCATCCCAATACATTTAATAAAAGTTTTTTAACGCAGAAGCAAGAAAGACAAAAAAATATTAATTTGAATAATTAGAGGTAATTCTTTGCCTTTATTCTTCATTTTCTTGATGAATTAGTCTGTAGTTATTTCTGTAAAGTTTTTTCAAATTGCAAGTCAGTCTGTATATCTAGTGCCAGTTTCTTTATTTATGTGTCTCAGTCAACTAAGAAGTAAATCTAATTCATGCTTCTTGACTTAAAGAGAGAAAATTGGCCTAAAGATTAAAATATTAATTTAATACTAAAATATTAAAGTAAAATATTTTAAAATATTAATGTATCATTAGCCTGCATTAAGATGAAGTTAGTTTTTTTGTGGCATTTGTGGTGAGCTGTTTGTGTAAATATTCCAGTAAGAAGACTCAATGGAGGCCCTCACAAATGAGGTAGAGATTAAATGTCAGAGCTCTATAGTTCTTGGGCAGTATTGTTTATTGGATTGTTACTAATTCCTCAGTAATTGCAATCATGATTCTTTGTATTGGAAAGATCACATCATAGAAATAGAAAATAGCACGTGTTGAATAACAGAAATTATGAATTTTTTGTAAATGTATATTGTTATTCAGTGAGGTCTTTTACAAAATAATATGATATCCTTTTGACTAGTACAAAAGAGTGACTATTTTGAAGGACATCTTTTGTATAGTTTAAAAAAACTGAGAAGCTGAAAAATGGTTCTCTGGATCACTGCTTCACAAATTAGTTTTATAAGGCCATATGGAACATGGCTATAGATAAAATAACTTCTTTGCCTTCGCCCTTGCCCTTGCCCTTGCCCTTGCCCTCGCCCTCATCCTCATAGCCAGGATCTTAGCTCTCTGAATAAAATGGTTAGTAGGAAGTAAATATGAAATGTTAAGTATTACTTATTTTTGGCATAATTTACTGATTTTTTAATTGAAAACTATGAGGACAATATAGATAAAACAAAGCAAGTGGCCTGTTAGTATCTGTGGAAATTTGTATACAAGAAGACATTTCTATTCTAAAACAATTACAGCAGGGTGAATGGGGGAAAGCAGAGGTATTTTGAGCTGGGATGATCTTTTGCTGTCACCTGCTTTTTCTTACTTAGTCATATTTTTCTATCTTGAGCATTCCTTCCCAAATAAGATATATTCCCAGGCCCAAGGATCTAATTGCTAATGATCTAAGATACTAATTCTTTCCCCCAAATTATAGAATTTAAAGACCCAAACCCTAAGAGATTATCTTGTCTAACACCCTTATTTTTCATGGGAAATTATCCCAATCCAAGGAGATTAAAGTCCAAGCTACTGGATGGCATTGATGAAACTAGACTTGGGTCTCCTTCTTTCCACGCAAGTTTTTCCACAGCACTACAATTTCAGTATTTAAATATTCAGAAGAATCTGTGAAATGCCAAAATGTGTCCAAGAAGAACCTTTAGAGCACAAATGTTGTGTCTCATCTCTGGTTGTCAATATGAAATATATCAAGACTTTGAATATGTATAATAGATTGAGGGAAAGTTTTGGAAGTCATTTTTAAAAAGAGAAAGGAGTAAGAGACTAACTTTTATGAAATATCTATTGTGGACTGGTTAATAAACCAAATTATCACAATAATCGTATGAAAGTGTCATTAAAATTCTTTTGGTTTGTTTTTTTGTTAATCCTCACCTGAGAATATTTTTCCATTGATTTTTTAGAGAGAGTGTAAGGGAGAGGGACAGACAGATAGATAAATCCATGTGAGAGAGACACATCGATTGGTTGCGTCTCTCACGTGCCTCACCCGACCAGGGCTGGGGATTGATCCTGCAACTGAGGTCTGTACTAGAATCGAACCAGGGACCCTTGTGCAAAATGTTGCTTCCCAGGAAATGATGATGTAGATGTACAGATATTAGAAATGAACATATTGAGGAAAGGAGATAACCATGCAATAAAATTACCAGCAGTGATTAGAAGGAATTTGATATTTAAGACTAGAAGAAGAAAAATAGGCTGTTAAGACCTAGTTTCAGTTTTAGGGCCTGGTTTCACTCGAAAGATGATGATTGATTGGATGAAGATGAAGAAAAGTGAGTAAATGCTGGAGATGTTGAAGAGAGAAAGTCAACAGAACTTGGTTGGATCTGATTAAGGTAGAGTAGGTTCATGAGGGGAAAAAAAATCAGCGTTAATATCTCAGATTCTGTCTTTGGCAACTAGATAGAAGAACCATAAAAATAGTATTATTGGAATATAGAAATACGTATCATTTTGTTTTATATATTGATTTTGTATTATGCAACCTTCATAAACTCACAGTTTAATGCTACTCATTTTTTTTGGTAAATTCCATAGGATTTTCTACATACATTATCATGTAAACTAAGGAAAATTAAATTTATTTAATTTCAGTCAACTTTGTATTACTGAAATAAATCCAGGAAACAAATTTGATTCTATATTAATCTTATATCCTAAGACTTTGCTACATTCTCTTATTACTTCTAGTATTTCTTTTACTGATTCCTTAGGATTATCAATGTAAATTTTGTCAGATGAGAGTAGGGATAGTTTCACTTTTTCCTTTGCAGTCTGTATATTTCTCATTATTTTTTCATTCCTTATTACATGGCTAAGACTACCATGACAATGATGAATAAAAGTGATGGGAGAAGACTATCTAACCTTCTCCCCTGTCTTAGGAGGAAACTATTCAGTGTTTCTTTTTATTTATTTTTTTAATATACATTTTTATTGATTTCAGAGAGGAAGGGAGAGGGGGAGAGAGAGAGATAGAAACATCAATGATGAGAGAGAATCATTGATTGGCTGCCTCCTGTATGCTCCCTACTGGGGATCAAGCCCGCAACCCAGGCATGTGCCCATGACTGTAATCAAACTAGGGAACCTTTAGTGCGCAGGCCAATGCTCTATCCACTGAGCCAAACTGGGGAGGCTTCAGTTTCTTTAAGTCTGCTGTTAACTATAGAGTTTTTAAAAAATCAGTATAATTAAGGCATAATTTACATAGAATAAAGTTAAATACTTATTTATAATGAAAACTCTCAACAAACTTGGAAAAGAAAGAGACATCCTCACTCTGATAAACTACATGACTCTACACTTTCTGATGCCTCAGGGAAATGTCAAATAAAAGCACAACAAGATGTTAGCATGCATCCACTAGAATAGTTCAAATTAATCTTACGATAACAGGTGTTGTCAGGGAGTGCTGGTAGAATTTTAAAAGCGTACAACCACTTTGGAAAGTAGTTTGGCAGTCTCCTATAAAATTAAACATAACCCTGGCCGGTTTACTCAGTGGTTAGAGCATCAGCCCATGCACTGAAGGGTCGTGGGTTTGATTCCCGGTTAAGGGCATGTACCTGGGTTGTGGGTTCGCTCCCCTCCCCTGATTGGGACTTGTGCAGGAGGCAACCAGTTGATGTGTGTCTCTCACATAGATCTTTCTCTCTCTCTCTCTTCCCCCCCCCCCCCAACTCTTTCTGGAAAACAATGGGGAAAATATCCTCAGATGATTAACAACAGCAACAAAATAATTAAACATAGATTTACTATATACCACCCAGGAAACCCAATTTTAGGGAGTTATTTAAGAGAAATGAAAACATGTTATAAGAAATCTTTTTTTTTTAATACTGGGTTTTTTAAATTGATTTTTAGAGATAGAGGAACCGGGAGAGGAAGAGCGAGAGAAGTATTAATTGGTTGCCTGCAGCATGCCCCCTACCAGGGATTGAGCCCCAACCCAAGCATGTGCCCAGACTGGAAATTGAACCAGCAATCCTTCAGTGCTCAGGGATGATGCCCAACCAACTAAGCCACATCAGCCAGGGCATAAGAAATCTTATACACAAATTATCATAGTATAATTTCTAGTAGGCCAAACCTTCATTAACCTTAACATCTATCAGTAAACAAATGACTGAGGCCTAGAACCAAGATGGCAGCATAGGTACGTGCCTGAACTCGCTACCTCCCAAAACCACATCAACTAAAATACAGAACACCCATCATCCAGAACTGCCTGAAAGCTGGCTGAATGGAAGTCCTACAACTAGAGAAGTAAAGAGGAAAGCACATTGAGACTGATAGGAGGGGAAGAGAGGTGGAACGGGCTGGACTGCCATCTATGCGTGCTGCTTTTTTAATCAGTAGGAGATAGTCTCTGCAGAGGCAGACTGTGAGGAGCAAGGTGTCCCAGATCCACACCAGACTGCCCAGCCCAGAGTTCCAGAGATAGGAAGAGCAATCCCCATAACTACGGGCTGTAAAAACCATCAGGGATTGGGGCTCAGTAACACAGAGGCTGCTGCAGACCCAGCTCTTCCTCTTAAAGGGCCGGTGCATAAACTGAACTTACAAAGGACTGCTTCCTTTGCGCTCCAGCACCAGGGCAAGACTCTGGGGAACCCAGACACATATGATGAGGAACTGGGTTGTCTGGCATCAGGATAGGAACTGGGTGAGGGGGACCTTTCTCCCAGATGGAGGTGCTCGCAAGGATCATTGTTCTTGTGGTGGGACCTCTCCAGTCGCAGAGCTGACTGGCAGCCATATCTGTTTGCTCTGCCCTGGTGATTCCCTGAGACCCCCACCCTATTCATTTTGCAGCTCCACCTAACCCTGTGTTGTGGCTTTTGCATGTGAATGGCACATCCTTGCTCAGGTTTCAGACTTTGCTAGAATCTCTCAAACGAGCTGTAGCTGGGTCAGAGTGCCTAAGCCTATCAATAAAAGGCCTAAGACCT